CTATTTGATGTTTATAGCCTTCTACATCTTTTTCGTAAACAGAAATCATTTGAAAGAAGGTGAGACATGATGTTGACCAGTAACTAATGGGTTATTAGATACAGAAATAGAACGGTGCTAATGCTAAATTAATGAGCCCAACAATTAATCAGCTAAAGCTCAATTAACGAGTCAAAATTTTGTTTCTCATTTATTTTAGACTAATTACTAACAGCTCCGCCAGGCAAAAGCAACTCGTTCAAAATATACTCTCAAACGCGAACAAGCTAATATAATCGATTAATTTCCATCGAAATCGAACGCTTCGGTCTAGCAAGATCAACTATATCTTTTGTTTTGTTTTTTCCATTGCAGGTTGTCTTTCAATCCACTTTTGCAAATGTATTGGTGGACAAAAGAATACCTATCCTTACTCTGCTAGAAAATTGGCTTGAAGTCGGAATTTTTTTATTTTTTTAGTTGAATCTGATCGTTTTCTTGCGACGAGGCTGTGTCTAATTTAGATGCGAGCAACTGCATAGATCCAGTCCCTTTTTATTCAGCGACTGGAATTAGACATGGGTACCCACAATATCACTGACATCCATTCCATGTACTCTCTTTTTTCTGTGTTTCAAAATTTTAAAAATATCAAACCTTCAATTGATAGCCATTCATGTAACCTACGAATTGAGAATAGGATTATGGATCAAAGCATATTAAATCAGTTTTTGTGTCGACATAGCGCATGCTATTTTCTTCTTTCGAAATAAGTTTTCTTCTCTAAAATAGGCTTTATTAGGGCCTTCAAAATTCCTTATCTGTTGAATCATTTTTGCGCAAGGTAGATCCTTTATAACTTCTTGAAATTTGTCATGGTTGTAGCGTTAAACTGTTGGAAATAACTTATCTTTTCCAGTTCAGATGTATATTATGGAAATTCTACAGGATCTTGAATCGATGCTTTGCGTTTGGCATGAAATACTATCATTTTTATGAGCTGTAAGGCATTAAAATAGTTCCTAAGTGTGATAAATATTTAGGCCATTAAAAGAAACAGTTTCAACCGTATGTCATTTGCACAGCTCCATAATTTTACAACAAGTTGCACTATAGTAAAGAAAATTCAGCGGTCCGCCAGATGCCCCAGAGGAGCTGAAAGGATATCCAAACCTAGAGAAAGCATGGATAAAGTGTGAGCTGGAAGTCCTTGTAGGACTATTTTTCGTCCTTTTTATCCAGTATTGTCCAATATATAGCTTTATGGCTTTATTCGGTAGTATGGGTTGAGTTTCTGGATGGAAAACTTCAACAAGGAATTCTCAAGTATAAGAAGAGAATCGCTTCAAATTCTTTATTTCAACGGTTATAGTGAGCTACAATTCGGTCGGACTAGATAAGTACTTATCTCATCCCTAAATTTTAAATAAAAAACACACCTTTAAACCTTCGCTCGATACTCAACAAAAATCGAACGTCTCGCCGAAGTTCATCGTGGTTGTTAGCTGTGTCTGAAGCATCCTGTGGGTAGCTGTTGCTGGCACTGAAAAAATACAGAAGTGATGGAATTATAGTTTGAAAGACTTAATACCTACAATGCGAAAGGAAATACTTAAATTCCAAATGAATATGTCGTCTTTG